AGTTCGATTAAGTAAAAAGTTTTTGACGAGTTATTTTTGTTAGTATATAAATTGAACAAACTAAATGAATTAGATATAGAATAATAATATAAATATAAGCAGAGATTTTTCTCACTTAATCTGCTGGTGAATTAAGAGCGAAATCAAATATAGAAATTTCTCGTACTATCCAGGCAGACACAATAACGTTTAAAACGGTGTCTAAACATTTCAATATGTAAATTGTAAAACATGTTTGATTAGTCACCAAAAACGAGTTAAAATAGTTTAAGAATAATAATATTCTCAACAAGTTTTTGATGTGTAAATGGTCAGATTGTTAAAACTTTCACTATTTTAACACGTTTTCGATCATTAACCAAACATTTTTATCGAGTTGAATGATTTCGATGAAAACGCCTGGTAATACTTAACATAAATATCTTGTAAACGAAGAATTGATAAATCTACAGGATGTTTCAAAAGCCCAACCCAAAAATGTTCTTTTCATGTAACTTCAGTATTAATTGGCCTTTATCAACTGATTCTTTTTGTATGATAGATATGACCATCAAGTTCTTATTTCTATTGATAAACTATAAGAGTGGTCTTTAGAATAGTTAACTTTAACCAAGAGACTAGCATTTAGCCTTTTTTCTGATTCTATAATAATATTATGAAGTGTTTCTTTATTAATTGTTTCGATATCTGGAATTATTCTGATTTGTATGAGAGGGTCCATGATACGGCCTACCAAGTTTGTATAACAACAAACTGAATGGAGTAGCTTACCATCACTTTCAGTAATGATGTTTATTGACTACTTCATATTTCCTGAATGTAACTACTTCACATACAACACACGCTTATATAGGAAAGAGAAGAAAGAGAGAGAGATGAACATAGGAGAGAACAATAAAGATAAGATAAAGAGGAATGAGGAAAGAGGAAAGGAAGGTCAACAGGTGGTGATATCAATGTCAGCACAGAATAGTATTGTAGAATTTAATGAGTTATTAAATTTTGTAGAGAAAACAGTCCTACATCATTTAAGGGTTTTCCGAACTCGAACGAATGGACGAATACAGAGGAAAGTGAAAAATACCAAGTGACCCTTTAAAAACCGATTTTTTTGACCAAGTGTCAAAGGTTCTGTCCCTTGTATACTTTGGTATTTTTCACAGACAAATCAGAAAGAGTTAATATTTTTGATTTAGAGGTCTTCTACGATGGTCTATCATTTGAGATAGCTAAATCGAAATTCAAGCAAGTAAAAAAGAAATGCAGCGTAATATTTTTATGGCATCAGAAAATAGGCTAAATTCTTATATATTGGTTAAAGGTAATCGTTACAGAGAGCACTTTTATAGTTTATCCATAAGAATAAAAACCTGGAGGGTGTCACCTATCATAGAATAAGACTTAGTTGACAAAAGTCAATCAATAATGAAGCCATACGAAAAAATATTTTTGGGAAGAGACTTTTGGGATACCACGTAAATGCTTCACCGATCTCTAAAACAAACATTTATTGCATGGAAACTGATAGTGAGTCTCACGACAAAATTGCTTCTTAAACTCTCTGGTTTTCTATTTGTTAGAGAATATAAAAGAAGAAACATTTTTCTTTTCATACTTGATAAAATACATTTATATTAATGAAAACGATAAAAAAAACAATAGAATATTCATCTAACATAAAAAATAAAATAAATTTGAAAGATTTTTTAAAAAAAAAACGGTAAAAAAAATATTTTTAAGCATTTTTAAGAGCTTTTTTTTCTCGATAAATAATATTGTTCAAAAGATCCACGAACAATATCACCTAAACTTCTCTGTATACTTGTAAACATATCATATGGAGCTGGATCATTAAGTTTTTTATCACTCCATGTTCCTTTATTACCTTGAAAGAAAAAATATGATAAAATAATAACAATTGCACTTTGATCGTAACGATGTTTGTTCAAAGAAGTTCGACTACAGTTTGTGTGCGATCGAAACGTTATTAAACACTCTGGTTCAAGTGCACATGTCAACCATGCTTTCATAATAAGACGCGTTAAAAATGTATCTGTAACAACTACAAATCCAGCTTCAGCTATGTAAATATTATCAAAATTAGTATATGATTGATTAAACCAAGTAAATGTATCAGTATGAGTATAACAAGATACATAATGACCAGGTAATTCCCGAGCAGCAAAACCACGAATATAATTATCAATTACAACTGGATTAAATGAATTAGAATTAAAACGAATAGATGAATCAGCATAGATAACTGTACCATAACGACGTAAAGCATCCTATTAATAATAAATTTTAAACTTGATAAGAGAAAGTCCATAGCTCAGTCGAGAAATCGTGTCATACGAAAAATCTTGACCTAGCTTTTTTTATCATTGAAAATGGAAGTGCATGTAAGAAAAATCTATAAATCCAGAATTTTAGTCTTCTCTGCAGAGAAGACTAAAATTCTGGATTTATAGATTTTTCTTACATGCACTTCCATTTCCAACGATAAAAAAGCTATATTAAAAGTTTTTCTGTGACATCCCACAGTAGATATGCTCGATTCACCCACGAACCATCTCTTAACCATTACAATAGTTAATAAAGATTTGACGGAATAAGAATCAATTTTCCAATTGATGATAAAAATGTATCTTCGATCTTTCTAATTCAATAAGAGGTGCAAGGCAACCTGTAGATTATATTCGTTTAAAATGAACAAAAAGGAATGTTTACTCATCTTCAAATTTCTGAAGACTTATTTTTCATTGATGATTATTCAAAAAGAATTTATAAACATTTCCTTAAATTTCAACCGAATTCTTGTTATAGAGTTTTAAGTTTTCACTTAACCAAAATCAAAGATGATTTCTAATATTTAACTTTTCGTCATCAACTCAAACCTTAATGATTACATCTAGATAAGTAATCAATTACAACTCAATAGATGACTAAAAAACTTAGAAGCTTATAAAATAATATATTCACCTGAATAACGAATGGTTTAAAGCCATAAGTAGTTAAGTCACCAATATGTCTTGCAAACTTTTCAATAGACGAAAATGGAAATTTAATAATTGTACATTGAGCACATTTCATTCTCAGCTAAATCAAAAAGAAAACAAATCCTCATAAGAAAACAGACATTCTTTTTCTTTTTCTTGTTTTTACTAATATTTCTTGTTCATTTGAAATACCCAAATCATAAAAAATAATTCTATGATCAGACCAATAAGTATCAAGTGTATGAATAGCACCTTGAAGTCCATCAAAATAATCTTGATCACAAGCAAGAACAAAAACTGGTTTACGAACACATTCAACTTCAAACTATTCAACATTTTTTTTAAATAATAAAAATTATTAAAAATAAAATTCTATAAAATATTTACTTTGTTTGTTCGTTTATCTCTTAATCCATCTAATAAATAATTTGAAATTTTTCTTAAATAATCAATAAATGTTTGATCAATTTCTATTGTTTTATTATCTGGCATTAATTTTATAAAACGATTGTATAAAGTTTTTATTTCATCTATATTACTTTCAATTGAATACGGTTTTAATGATATATTTGGATTTAACATATTAAAAACATCAAAAGTTTCTAACAATGATTGATATTTATCTTCTTTTGAACGAATTATTTCTAAAAGACTTCGTATTCGTTGAATTGTTGGTTCTACACGTGTTAAATCAGGTTGATTTTCAATTAATGAATTTGTTTTATAATTAAGAATAAATTCACTAGTTGATGGTTTAAAATCGCATCTAATATTTTCATTGTTTATTGCGGAAATTAGATGATATGGTTTGTTTAAATATTCATAACAGAGTAACAACGAATAAATACATGTAAGAGAAAATATTGCAGATAAAAAACGACGAAAAAATGAACGCCGACCTAATTTAAAACGTCGAATTGATAGCATTTTAAAATAAAGAAATAACTTGATATAATTCGCATTAAAAATCTTAAAATAGAAAATGCTTCAAAAGTTCATTTAAACAAAAAAAAAGTAAATGAACAATTCTTTTATAGATCAAGTGGTTTACTCTATATTATATTATTTACAGTTTTATGTAACATCTTTGAATTAAAATAGTTATATTTATAAATGTCAAAAAATATAAAAATTACATTGTAATTAGATTTGATTGTAAAACTGAAATTTCAAAAGTATGAGTACAAAGAATCATGACAAAACATTTCTTATTAAAAACTTTTTCAATAGAATTTCTTTAGAAACTATACAAAAAAGATCACATTAAACATTTGAGAATTTTTTCGAAAAAGTTACTTTTAAGCTTTCTACGAATGACAATATCCTTGCGAATCGTATGTTTGACGAGCAGTTTCATGTGTAGTCAACCATAAAAAACACAAGATTCTTAGAAGATTTTTTTTACCTATAGAACTTTGTAGAGCTCATTGCGCTGATCATTTTGATGAAAATAAATATTCAAATTTACTCAATAAATCATGGTGCTAGAATCAAAATATTCGAAAACATCTAACTAAGCAATAATCAAGAATAAAAAATAACTGAAGTTGTTGAACATATCGGTTTTTATCATCATGATTTATTCAGTAAAACTGGATGTTTCTTTTGAGCTAAGTGATTAGTGCAACGAACTCTACAGATGAAACAATTTTCTTAGAGCCTTGTATATTTTATGGTTGACTATCCATGAAAATATTCATCAAAAATATGATTTGCAAGCATTTTGTCGTCGATAGTTTTTTCTTTTTAAATGTTTGAAAAAGGAAATATTTATTTGTTTTTTGCTTCGAATAATTGTTATAGAATAATTTAAAGGGAATAAAACTTTAAGCAAGTTGAATGAAACAATAAAAACCAGTTAAAATATTAAAAAGCTCTCAATGGTTTTTTTTGTCAAATGATCTTTTGAAACTTTATATTAGACAATGAATCCTTTGAAAAGAGAAACATGAGGAGAAAATAAAACTCTAATTAATAGTTTTTCAAAGAATACCTACTAATTATATTTTATTAAGATTATGTATTAATGAATTTAATTGAATAAGAAAAATATTTATAAAAAACAATTACCAATTGTTTGGACAATTTTATTAATGACTATTCTCGAATGTATCGACAATTTGTTTATTGAAAAAATGACTCGGATGAGTCTTGATAGTATCATTGTCGTACCTATGTGTACTTTTTAGTTCTTTTTTCTTTTCATATGGACACATACATGATGATAGCGAAGATAGACATGTTGCTTACCGTAGCGTGTCAAATTGATGTATGAATGTTCTATGTCATCGATTGAAAAAAAGTAATCAATAAAAAAAAAACATAAAATTACTACTTTGCTGTCTTCAAAGTATTGATATTTTTAATCACAATTCTCATGAGAAATATTTCAAAAATTCTCTTTCTACCGTTCATTTGGTTTGAATTAAATTATTGTGAAAATATTTTATTTTTTCAAATATAAAAATAAACAAATCTATTTAGAAGAAATAAGAAAAATGAATGGAAATAAGCATCTTTTGAAGTTATTCTTGATGTTATTTTGCTTTCGTTTGCTTACTTTAATTTTATCAATGAATTTACATATCAGAACTCCCAACACAGATTACTTTTTTTTGCCTAGTCTCTCTCAAAGTACCTGCAAGTCAAACTAGATTGATTGATATTTCTCATTTTTCGAATATATTTAATTCTATAACTCTACATTAATATATCATTCTACTTTCAATTATTCACTTAATTTATATTCATAAACATGATATAATAATAAATTCTTGCATGAATAACAAATTAAAACAAAGAGAAAACTCTCATAAATGTTTTTCATAGAAGAAATGCTTCAATTAATGCAATGTTTTTCATTATATCATTACTCTTTCGAATAATCAAAAAACTAAATCATGGTCACAGAAACAACATATGATCAGGGATACAATCCAGAGATAAAAGAAAATTTACAATAGAAATATAGAAAACTAAATGATAAATATAATAATAGACAAGTATATTTACATGTGACAATCGATTTTTACAACAACACGAAAATGAAATTTACTATCCAATTGCTTCGGATCTAAACAAGTTCTTCTGTCAGTCAAAGTTAGCCCAACAATAATAAATTGATGTTCGATTCAAGGATTTGTCGCTCGAATCGAATAAGTTAGTCGAAGTACTATTGAACAATAAGTCCATGCATAAACATTTCATTTTGAGAACGTAGAAGCCAGGTAATAGGTCAAATTGTGAGCTCTGATACATATACACATATGCTACTTAGTCTAATTTGTAATATTGACATCTTGAGTTTGACAACAAAAACAGCGGAACTGAATGAATCTACTATATTGACATAACTGCTATTATACTTGCTTAAACTGGTTTATTAATTCCAAAGAGATTGAAAAGCACTCTTACTTTAAGGTATTCTAGTGGTGTCTATATACTCATCTGTTGATACTTTGAACATTAAAAGCTTTATTCTTATTATCATCAGTATTACTTTGATAATCATTCTTTTTATTCATTAATTATTTTGAAACTTTTCATTGCTTTTCATGAAGTTTACTCTCTTTAAATACAAATACTAGTTATTTGCATCAGTTGAATTGTTTTGTTTATAATTATGAATTATTGGTTACATTTTATGCTTTCGATTTCAATTTCTTACAAGAATTCATTGAAATGTTATGATATGTTAAAAAAAACTTGTTGTCATTTCATCAATGACTACTATGCCTACATCAATAGTTCTTTAATAGAAAAGTTTCAAGAGGACAATTTCGAA